GAGAGAGGGAACACAAGCAGGGGGAGTGCGAGAGGGAGAAGCAGGCTTCCCGCCAAGCAGGGAGCCCGATGTGGGACTCGATCCCAGGACCCTGGGATCACGACCTGAGCCGAAGGCAGCTGCTTGACTGACTGAGCCACCCAGGCGCCCCCTTTAGTAGTCACTTAATAGTGCACCAGCGCTATATACAATTAACAGTATCAGTTCATTTTTATAACACACAGAGAAAGGATATTTTCCTGAAATAACTGGAAGAGGCAAAGGACATTAAATGTTATGTCCTATATTTACAACCCTAGTCCCTAGTACTGTAATACCTGTAACACAATAGGAGCGTGATAATTGTTTATTCAATGTAGTGTACTAAAAAATCACCCACAGGGAGCTAACTGGTCTGTCATTAGTGAAAACCAGCAGGAACAAGAGAATCAATGTTAGCAGGGAAGACAGTTCCCTACCCTGATTGTCTGAGGTAGAAAAATAAGTACAGTTACACATAGGTGCGATGTGGAATACAGTTATAGTTATTTCATCCTTTGCAAGTTGAAAGGCATTTAGAAACCACTCAAGACAAAGGAGGAGGGTTGAGGAACTGCTTTGATTTTTAGAAAGCAACAGACCCAGTAAAATCAGAAAAGTTTATTGAACAATTTAAAAGTGGTACTAGCATGTTAGTCATCATACAAATTCCTTTTAAGTATAAAAATCAAGATGTCAGTGTCTGTTCAGGACCATCAAATGAGTCCAATACAAAATCATACTCTCAGACTTGGGGATCACACCTCCACTCGTTAGAGGACGCGAGTCTGACCAGACCAAGCCCAGGCTTACATCCGAGATTTTCCCAGGCAAAGCAGGAGCAGGAGGTGCTATTAAATTAAAAGCCAATTTAAAAGATTTCAGTAGCTAAATGGAAAGTTCCCAGAGACACAGGTGACAGCCGTGTTTCTAGCCCCTTTCAACCATGAAGTCCTGTAAGCACCTCAGGCAGCATCAATCCGAGCATCCTGAGACCAGAATACACTCGAGCAACAGGTGCTTCATTTGGCCACCCGTGGGAAAAACTCAGTGACTACACAGAGCAGTTGGCACATGTGCCCACAGGCCAGTTGACTCCTACAGTCCCCACACTACAATAATAGACCCCCACTTTCCAAAGTGCTACTGGGCCTTAGTTAAGGAGGGCCACCCTCACCCTCTTCCAGTTAACACCCTGTTCACACAGAGCCCCTACAACCCCCCCTCCAAACAGGAGGCCCTGGGTCACATGCCAGAAATAGATACAGCACATTGAAACTGAGATAGAAGACATCTACTAGACAATACTATCCATCCTGGATCCTCCACAGCTTTAGACAATGGTGTAGAAATATACACCAATGAATTACTGTATGAAGAGGAGAGTACAGGGATAAAGGAAAAGCAAAACAGAACACTTTAGTCCATGGTGAGGGAAAGGAAAACCAGAAGGAAAGGAGGAAGAATAGTGAGCTTATGTAACCTTTCACTTTCTAACAACACTTGGTATCTGCTCAACCTCCAGCTTCCGCTTCTCCAAGAATAGGGGTGCCAGATTTAGCAAACAAAAATATAGGATGCCGCATTAAATTCGAATTTCAGATAAACAGCAAATAATTTTTTGACTCTATGTCCCAAATATTGCATGGTACATACTTACACTAAAAAATTATTTGTAAAAAAAACAAAAACAAAACTACTCTCTTTTATCTGGCAACCCTATCCAGGAGGCTCAGTTAACCTGAGGACTAATCTGATCATATAATGTCAAAGAGCAACAGCAGGACCATCCCAGAGCAAAGCACAGACCCTTCATTCACCACAGAAGGAGCTATGTGATTCTTTTAACTCCATTTCCCAAACTCTCAAAGATCCAATGCTTATTTTGGCAGGGTAAGAGAATATGTGCACAGTGGAGTTGTCAACTATTATCTGCCAGGTGGAGAAGTAAGTTTTCCTTCCATATCAAATGAAGAAGGTCAAAAATACAACTAGGGAGAATAAGGAGAAGCAGGCTTACTGGGGTAAGGAATCTGACTCCTACCGCCGCAGGGCAGGCTGAAATCCCCCAGCAAAATCCCCACAAATGTGACAGCCCCGGAGTCTGGAGATCCAACATACTCCAACTTTCTTCGAGCAACTAAAAGACATCAAAAGGCAACCAAGACTGAAAATACACACACACACACACACACACACACACAATGTACAGAGGAGGGAGGAATAGGAAGACAGCAAGGTAGGACACTGAGAAGAATCACACAACTCCCTGATAATGACTGGCAGAACACTTTGGTTGGGTGGTTGGTTGGTTTGTGGGGTTAACCTTCAGTGGTCTTTCCCTGAAGCAGAAGCTGACAGAAAAAAAGGGCCTCACAGAGGCCTCAGGGACATAGCTTTATGGGGGATTAATTCCACAACACCAGGCCCATAGTGCTATCATAATCTGATAGCAGATCTGACCATCGGACCCCACATCCAACGTGCTACCGTGACGAAGTGCCAAACTCATCTCCTGAGGGCAGAAGAGGAACCAGTAACAAGTCCGTGGCTGATAAACATTCCCCTCAAAGGCATAAAGAGGGAAACATCAAAAAGAACAGGACCACATTATGCTTTTTTTTTTCCACCACAGCCTCTTTGGGATTTTCTAGTTCCTCTTAACCCAGCATCTCTCAAACTGTGCTTCCAGAGATGTTAACAGGTGTTGCGTGGAACCAAAAAAAAAAAGAAAAAAGAAAAGATTCAGTGAAATAAATTTGGGAAATGTTGCCCACTTATTAAAAGTTATAAATCCCCCCAGTAGAGGAACCAGTCCCACTTTATTTAAATCACTGGTTACCAGAGGGAGGTGGGTGGGGGGGCTGGGGGAAATAGGTGATGGGATGGAGGAGGGCACTTGTGATGAGCACCAGGTGATGTACGGAAGTGTTGAATCACTACATTGTACACCTGAAACTAACATTACACTGTATGTTAACTAACTGGAATTTAAATAAACACTTAAAAAAAAAACCCACTGGTTCCTGACTTACTTGACCACAGAACCTTGTCAAGGAACGTCTATTAGTATCTTCCAGAACTTTGAAAAATGCTGCTTAACCATTTTTGCAAGCATGTCTCATCTCCAGAATGGGAAGAACATGTTGACACTGGGAACACCCAGGAATCACATATAAAATGATTTTCTAAAACTAATATATCGGAAAGTTTAAGGCAATGATTTGAAAACTGTAGAAACTTGTCTTTCTGTGAGGCACTTACTCAATGGTAAATACAGCTAGGAAAGCTAATTTAGAGGTAAAAGTCAGTCAGTCAGTCTCTCTCTCTCTCTCACTCTCTCTCTATCTCTCCCCAAACTTCCTCCAAAAGGTTCAGACCAAACTTCAAAGCAGCCATGTACAAACAAGGCTGTCTTTGTTCCTCCAAAAGCCCAATAACCTGGAGTCTAGGGTTTCTAGGAAAAGAGACAAATGGCTCATGCTGGCATTGTTTGTTCAATGCTATCAAAGGAATCCCTCTCATTCCCCCTTAGGTGCAGTCTCCAAGTAGCACCCCAAAAGCTATAAAAGGACACACTTCTTGGTGTTCTTCTTTGTGGCAGGGTAAAGCACAGCCCGAACAGCTTCTGAAAATACCTCGTGTACCCCATCCTGCATCAGGGCTGAACATTCTAGATACTTCACAGCCCCCACCTGCTTAGCCAGGGAAGTGCCTTGCTGAGGAGTTGTGGGCACTAGGCTCTGTTCCTTCAGCTTCTTCACTGTCTCAGCGTCATTCCGCAGGTCTCTCTTGGTACCTACCAGCAGGACAGGCACATTGGGACAATGATGGGAGACCTCGGGGTGCCACTTATGCCTCACATTGGCATACGAGGATGGGTTGCCAATGGAAAAACAAATGACAAAGATATTGGTCTGGGGGTAGGACAGCGTTCGCAGTCGGTCATACTCCTCTTGGCCAGCTGTGTCCCACAGGTTCAGGCTGACGATTTGGCCATCCACAGATGTCTGGGCACTATAGTTGTCAAAGACAGTGGGGATATACTCCTCAGGAAAGGCATTCGTTGTGTAACTGATGAGGAGGCAGGTCTTACCTACAGCCCCATCTCCTACAACCACGCATTTGATTGTCTGCATTCTTCCGTTGGAGTCCTAAGTGCAAGAGAGAAAGAAAGAATGTTCGCAGATGCTTGGTTCATTGGGGGAGCCTAAGCTTTATAGACATTTGTCTCTGAGGAGAAAGAGAGGAGGTAAGACCCCCACCACCACCACCACTGCCCATCCCCTTAACACCATAGAAGAGTCAGCTGGAAAAGACTATATAGGGCAAGAGTTCTTACCATGGAGTCCATGGACTGCTAGAGGATAAACTTCAGTAGGTCCTAGAAGCCGCCTCTGAAGTATGCAATATTATGTGCATGTACATAAGTGAATTTTTCTGGAAAGAAGATCCAAAACTGTCAACAGGTTGTCAAAAAGGGCTGTCAGCCCAAAAAGATTAAAAACCATTCATATACATAGGTATTTGTTACATTTTTGCCAGGAGGTCTGGCATCTATCAGAGGTGCTAAAATATAGTGGGTGCTCAATAAATGGAAACTAATTTTTAAAATGCCATTGATGTTGGGGCACCTGGCTGGCACAGTCAGTTAGGCGTCCAACTCTCGGTTTTGGCTCAGGTCGTGATCTCAGGGTCATGGGATCGAGCCCTGCATTGCGCTCTGTGCTCAGCACGGAGTCTGCTTGAGATTCTCTCTCCCTCTCCCTCTGCCCCTCCCACATGCACATGTTCTCTCTCTCTCTCTCTCAAATAAATAAATAAATCTTTAAAAAAACACATTGATGTAGAAGGAGGTTCTAAAGGTTGAAACAAAAGAAATATAGCTCTTACTTTGGGTCTATGGCTATAGACTCAGCAAAGAAACCTCTGTTCCTGACAGTGACGTCATAAGCTTGGAGAAAGGTAGGCCAGTCAGACTTAGCCATCCAGAGGAGGAGTTAAGAGTCCAGGCTCTGACATCAGACCACCTGGAGTCCAAAACCAGTCCTTTCTTTTTCTAAGCTTTGTCAGCTTGGGCAGGCTTTTCACCCGTGGCTTACATGAAAGAATGTTTGTGTGGTACTTATTAGTGCCTGCCAGATAGAAAGTACTCATTAAGTATTAGAAACTACTACGACTTCATAATAATTCTTCTGTTCTGGGGAAGGCAAAAGTTCTGTAATGTCATTACAATGCTAGACAAACCAGGGACCTCATCCCCTCCCACCTTATCTGAGCAAAACCATTGGTCATACCACCACCATACTTTCTCATCCATTTCTTCATGAACCAAGTATTTGAGAGTTAATGGTAAGGCACAAATGACCTCCAAGAAGTATGTTTACTATGAGCTCCCACATTTATACCCCCATATTAAAACCCTATCAATGCCCTACCCTGTCAGTGCCCACAAAGCACTCCATTTCCTTTAGCTTCTTAGCTACTGCACTAATTTCAGACCTGATCCTATGATAGTATTAACTTCTTCAAGTGTCAGAACATGGAGGAAAGGGGATAAATTGTCATATGTATTTGATTATAGAAAAAAAATTGAGGGTGCCTGGGTGGCTCAGTTGGTTAAGCGAATGCCTTCGGCTCAGGTCATGATCCTGGAGTCCTAGCATCAAGTCCCACATCAGGGTCCCTGCTCAGTGGGGAGTCTGCTTCTCCCTCTGACCCTCCCCCGTCTCGTGCTCTCTCTCACTCTCAAATAAATAAATAAAGTCTTTTAAAAAAATTGAGAATCAATTAGTTTCTCACCTTGAGAATTTGGGGGACTAGATACATCCTTCACCCTGTTGTCTTACTAGCTAAGGTCTACATTAGGCCCATATCATAGACAAAACAAAACACCTTATTTTCAGTCAAAGTAAAGAAAAGTTGGCCTTCAGGGTGCCTGGGTGGCTCAGTGGGTTAAGCATCTGCCTTTGGCTCAGCTCATGATCCTGGGGTCCTGAGATCAAGTCCCACATCAGGCTCCCTGCTCAGTGGGGAGTCTGCTTCTCCCTCTCCCTCTGCCTCTCCCCCCTGCTTGTGCGCTCTCTCTCTCAAATAAATAAATCTTAAAAAAAAAAAAGAAAAGTTGGCCTTCTGAGTATGCTTCACACAGGCCCACTAGAGGTAGCTCTCATCCCACACAGCCAATTCTGACTAGCAAGGCATTCCACCTAGAAGCCTTCATTAGTATGGGTCCCACAGCTAAAAGTCCGGAGTGTAATTCAGCTCCAGTATTCACTGACCATCAGCCCTATCTCTTTCCATCTAGGAACAGGCGTAAGGATCAAACATACAAGGTCGATGGAAAAAGGGTAAAGTCACCACCACATTCTTTGAGAATAGCCTTCCTTGATTTTCCCAGTCTGGATTCATTTCTTTCTCCTCTGAATTCCTATAGCAATTCCTGCGTGAACAACTCATCTTCCCAGTCTGCTATTCCGTATCATCCGGTATCCAACGTCTCTGTTCCAAGTGACTGCTTTCAGGACAACTGTGCATCTGAGGGAGTTGCTGATCCAGAGCAAACTCTTAGGCCCAAAGACCACTTTGCACCGCAAGCTCAGCTCCTCATCTCTGTAACTAGGAAAAGGCATCTACACTCATTTCTGCTTGTTTCTATCTACTAACCCTCCTAGTATATATGGTCTGCAGATGGGCATTCAAGCCACACTGATGGCTGAGGGCCTAGATGATGAAGGGCAGCTAGAACATCCCAGGTCTGAAACAAAACCCAGGACATCCTCACCCATAGCAAACTCTCTATGAAAGGGAGGTTCAGGAAAACTCCCAGGTATTTTGGGGGGCTACTTTGTACAATTAATTGACTCATTTATTCAGCCCACATGTTCATCATACTGTTTTATTTACTTATGTGTATGTTTGGAATTATCCATAGTTAAAAAGTTTAAAAATACTAAAAAATATATCTAAACGAATTAAAAACAGGATCTCTAAGAGATACTTGTACACCAGTGTTCATTGCAACATTACACACAAGAACCAAGAGGTGGGGGCGCCTGGGTGGCTCAGATGGTTAAGCGTCTGCCTTCAGCTCAGGTCATGATCCCAGGTCCTGGGATTGAGCCCCACATTGGGCTCTTGGCTCAGTGGGGAGCCTGCTTTTCCCACTCCCTCTTCCCCTGCTCATGTTCTCTCTCTCTGTATCTCTCTCTCTCAAATGAATAAAATATTTTAAAAAAAAGAGCCAAGAGGTGGAAGCAACCTAAAGACCATCATAGATGAAAACATAAAGAAAATGTGAGAGAGATATATATATATATATATTTTTTTAAAGATTTTATTTATTTATTTGACAGAGAGAGACACAGCGAGAGAG